AACCGCTCGATGATCTGACCAAAAATGAATTAAAACGATCAATATATATATATATATATAGAGAGAGAGAGAGAGAGATTGAAGCTATGGACCTTGGGGTCTTTAAACGAGCCCAAAGGGTCAGTGGTCACGAACCACCCGAGCCGCCAACCGGGAACGATCCATCTCTTCGACAGCGAACCAAGTGTAAGTACGGGAACTACAGATCCAAAGACGCCCATTGGCACGAAGGGTGTGTTCCCAAAAGCAAGATGACCGTAAACTTCATCTGCAATGACAAGGATCCCGAGTTTCTTCGCCATCTCTGCAACCTAAACACAAAGACATAAGCATATAGTCTCCCCCTCCCCCAAGACAAAACCCATATGTTCAGCTTTTTTCTCCATGCAAGAAACCTATACCTTCTTCAAATGCTGGTAACCATACACGTTTCCGCACGGATTACCAGGGTTTATAACCACCAAGGCGACAGTGTTTTGGTCGGAAAGAGCTTCGACAGCGTCAAGATCGATCTCCCAGCCACTGTCCGGGAGAAGATCAACATACCGAACCTCGAGCTGCCTGAACTTAGCACACAGTTCATAAATAGGAAAACCTGGTCTTGGAAGAAGTATGTTCGCTCCAGGCCGAGCGAGCATCGCTAACGCCACGTCAATCGCCTGTGTACATCCCGACGTTATGAACACATCGTCCTGCGAGAGTTTGTAAGGAAGATCCCTCGATAGATATTCCGCGATCGCCCTGTTAATTAATCAATCAATCAGTCGAAATTGCATGCGAACGAGCTAGTTATGTTGATCTGTTGGTCGTACTGTTGGTTCCTGATAGAGACTTTAACTGAAGAGACAGAGATTCGGTCGTTGTCTCGGATTCAGACCAACAAAAGACATTGGAGAACTGAACATAAATCTCGCGGAAAATTAGGTTCATGTCATTAACACGACCATTGGGTATCTCTTCGACTGCGAGCGAACATCGAAGCCGTACATTTTTCTTTGATTTCTCGGAAATGGAACTGAAGATTTCCTCGTAATCAACATCGGTCCTAGGAGACTTAAAAAGTAATTATGGGAAAACTAATTAAATCCATAGAAACATGTAATTCATACAAACATTTTTTCTATTGATTGATACAAACATCTAAAGATAAAAAAAATTCGAATTCTCGACTAATTGCATGAGCATATATATATATATATATAGTCGGAGTACGATGATCCACTGCTTAGACCCCTTAGACCGAGAGATAGGATACGTGAGGATGGGTCTGATGCTAGTGAAATACTAGGGCATAGGGAACACCTTCGTCCTAGAGCTAATGAGGGGGCTAACGTTGAGTCAAGTGAGGGCGTTATATTTAGGTCCCTCCAACAGATCATGGATAGGTTGGCAAAACTAGAGGCCCGAACCTTGCCCTAGAGAAACTCTAGCTCGTCCTAGACGAACCCG